CACGCCTTAACCTGCACAGAGCACCACAGGACATACAGCAAGCCCACTAGATGCAAATTATAAGCATCGCTCCTCTAAATACAGATACAATGAAATGAATAGGAATGGATAATGTAGCTAATGCCCCTCATTGCCCAATGTGCTGTGATATTTCCCCATGTGCAGTGATATTGCCCGTTATTGCCCTATGTGCTGTGATATTGCCCCATGTGCTCGGATATTACCCCTCATTGCCCCATGTGCTCGGATATTGCCCCTCCTTGCCCCATGTGCTATGATATTGCCCCATGTGCTCGGATATTACCCCTCATTGCCCCATGTGCTGTAAATTGCCCCCATATTACCCCATGCGCTGCAATACTACCCCCTCAGTGACACATTTCTGTAAATGTTGAATGCATTCATGAAACATTTTAAATTCTATTCATTTACATAATTTTATCTTTTTTGCTATTTCTAAACAAAAAATATATAAATGTAAGATTTGAATGATTTATTGTGCCGACCATGTATCTCATATTTCAAACACATTTTACATTATTTTCTCTCCAATAACCTGAAATCGAAGGGGTTTATTTTTAAGTAGAAGCCTTTTTCTGCCCTTAATGAGAGGCATTCATTCCGTGTTTAGCATTTAGTAATGCCGGTTTTATTAATATTCATTGAAATGTAGCTGTTTTATAGAATGGCCCACCATGTTGAAGGATAAGACTACTGGAAGTCATCGCAGGTGGTCCGTGTGCCAGCCATTAGAACGCCCCCAACTCCCCGAGGAGGGTCAGCGAACTCTGGGAAAACAAACTGACAGCCCTCTGTTTACAGGGGGAAAGGAAAACGAATCCTTAGGTAGAGGGGAAGAGAAACTACCAAATGGAGGTGACTTTGACAGAGTGCACTCTTTACATGTTTCATCCAAATCCTTCCAGAACTGATGGACTGTCAGTTTTCCTGAGAAAACATTGCAGCCATTATTTTATAAAACATCAAATGCTGCTATAAAATCTTTAAACAAGTAGCAATCACGTCTGTGTCCTGCTTTGCAGGAAATGTTCTCTCTGTGCGACTAATATTATCAGTTATAACTTGTGTGTTGCACTGCAATTCACACCATCCTTTCCTGACTATTATGGTGTTTCCTCGTGTTCTAATGTGTAAAGCCACTTTAGATATCCTTAGAGACATTAAAGGCAATAAAACACACATGCGCAGATGGATCATGCCACAGGTAACAGCTAGTGACATTATATATAATGCCACGTTACTTGCTAACCTGCCATGCATTGAGTAACGGCAGCACCACTGAATGTCCTGCACGCAGGGTAACTGTTGTCCGCCTGGGAACCAGGATCGGCATCTACCAGCCAGAATATCAACTGTTCTACTTACCTGATTTACCAAATACTCCAACAAAATAATATTTTTTTTTTGAAATCCTGAATATGTCAATAACATTTCAACTGGAAAATAAATGAGAAACTTTGAATGTGGCAAGTTCGAAGTCTCCTGGCAAGGAACGCAGGTAGCAGTGTTTGTTCGTTGAGTTCCTGGAACTCAAATCAGACACTTTAAAGGGACACTATAGTCACCAAAACAACTTTAGCATAATGAAACAGGTTTGGTGTATAGATCATACCCCTGTAGTCTCACTGCTCAATTCTCTGCCATTGAGGAGTTAAATCCCTTTGTTTATGAACCCTAGTCACACCTCCCTGCATGTGACTTGCACAGCCTTCCATAAACACTTCCTGTAAGAGTCATCTAATGTTTATCCTTCCTTTATTGCAAGTTCTGTTTAATTTAGATTTTCTTATCCCCTGCTATGTTAATAGCTTCATGGACCATGCAAGAGCCTCTTGTATGTGATTAAAGTTCAATTTACAGAGCAAGAGATAAAATGGTAAAGGTAAATTACATCTGATTGATTTAAGATTGAAACTAGTTTTTTTCATGCAGACTGTGTCAATCGGAGCCAGGGGAGGTGTGTCAATGGCTGCATAAACAGAAATAAAGTGATTTTACTCCTAAATGGCAGTGAATTGAGCAGTGAAACCTGAGAGGCATGATCTATACACTAAAACTGCTTCATTAAGCCAAAGTTGTTTAGGTGACTACAGTGTCCCTTTAACTCACGAACACTACTAAACTTTGATGAGCTCCTTCTTCTTTTACATACATGTCAGGAGAGTGACATTTGGTAGGATTGTTCAAATGAACTACGCGAGCAATTGCTACCTAGTAGCCAGAGGATGCGTTCAGTAGTTTGTTCGCTTTGTACTCCTGAAAGACCGACTGAAACCACCTTTCTCCTCAAACTATTTTGGACAGGTGCCTTGTGTGCAGTTGGTCAAAACCTTACCCCTGCGCTTTTTGGATACGTTATGCGCTCAGATCCAGGCTATCTGGGAAATAAAACTTGAGGGGGTACATGCTTGTATTATGTCTGTTATGGGGGTTATAAAATATTGTAGATTTTTCTGTACCTGATAGAAAATTAAATTACAGGTTTTTCTCACGCAATTATCTCTCAGACACAGATGATCTTGGGAGAAAATACCCTGTATTTTTGTGTAAGAAACCCCATGCAGGGGTTTATGCATTACAGGCTGTGTGTGGCACAGAATAAAGTCAGTTCACTCCCAGCATTATGCCTCGGCTAATGTGTGGGGAGGGAGCTATACCTGCTCTTTCTACTGCTATACAGCTATACTCTCTGGAGGAGAGCTCTAACCACTGGTAGCTGGATCCAGGACTCTGGTCCAAGGTGGGAAGAGGAGGCGGGACCCCAGCCAACCTACGGCAGATAGGGGCCAAAAGTGCTTATGATAGCTAGGAAGCATTTGGTAGTCCGCCAAAGAACCGTACATGTAGCATTACTCGATCTCCGATAATCTGCTTCCCTTATTAGAACTATCAGCCGCAATCTCTGACCTGATGTTTCAGGAATCCAACCCAAGGTGCTCCACAAACAATCTAACCTTCAGCTTGTCTTCCTTCCCCAATCCCATGGGTTGAGTTTTCTGAGTACGAGAAGTTCTAAAAATGTTCGGTTTAAGTGATAACTCGAGCTCTGATCCTGCAATTCGAAGAGCTTAGTGATTCTATATTTGCTGCAACATTTAATCCCATTGACCTATTGAACAGGATAAGTGGGATATATCTTTCCATCTGATAGTTTCCAAGAAGAATCAGCACTGAGTATGACGGCTTCCCATAGATAACTAACAGCAGGCAAGTCCTTCAATAAAAGGACATTAAGCATTTTACTATCTCCGGTTTTATACGTATTGATTACCTACTATAATCATCCTATTGTCTCAGCACTTTAACGTATCAAATTGTGAATTTTTGTATTCATTGTAATGTATTTCCTCAGCACTAAGCACTGCTTTGCACATTATTAATAAATTAGCAATATAATTATAATTAGCATTTTAATAGAATGGAGTTAGCATTCACAGATGTGCTATTCACTATTATATGGTGATATTCTCTCTCTCTCTATATATAACATTCCGTATGTATTAATATTCAGTTTCTAGCTAATAAAGATATGGATTGGGAACTGTTATAGAATCTCTGGAAGGTACATTTTGTTACAAAACACTGGAAATAACTATGTTACTGTTTAATAACCAATGGATACTGTTTGCCACTGTATAAGTTTAAGCCGAAAGAAACACGAATGGATTACTCGAACCATTATAAAGACTCCATTCGTGGTACGAACGGGGGACCCCCCAGAGGTTGGCGTTTGCCGCCACTTAACCCCGTCACCCCGCAAACTACCGAACGGTCGACCACCCGGCCAGCGGCGTGTGGCAGCCATTAACCACCCAGGCGGCTGCGGTTTGCGGTTAACCACAACCTAATTGATAGGCCTGGGGGCATCGACGTTCGCACCCAAAGTACCGAACGGAATCTACCGAACCATCAACCGAACGGCGACCCCCTACAGCGGGTCGCGTGGCGATCATTAACTTGTGGTTTCTGCGGTTAACCGCAGGTCAAGTACCCCTCTACCAGGCGGTCCTCGTTCATGTACCGAACGAGTTCCACTACCAGACGGACTGCGGGGCTTCGCATGAACCGGTACCCGAGTTTAGTTCCACAAGTTAGAAGCGAGGTCCCGCTGCCCGCTAAACCATCAGAAAACATGGCCGCCAACAGAGACTCACAATCCAAAATGCCGAATGGACTTTATACGGAAGAAACAGTCCATTCTGTTCGTGGGATTGGAGCGCCATTCGCATGTTTAATATATACGAACACGAGCCTTTAGATGAATGGTAGAATGAGTGGTTTTCCTGTATTAATGTAAAAGTTATGGATTTTTATGCAGTTTTCTGGGACAGAGTAAAACGTGGTCTTTTGTGCGCTTGGAGATAATTAGATTGTATAACCGTTGACCTCATTATCTCCAAGCTGGGCGGGTACTAATTCAAATAATACACTGTATTGTGATTGGATATTTGTCTGTACTGTACCTGTATTCCATCAGGTCCACAGGGGGCTGTCCTTGGACCTGAGGAATCACATAAATTGCCATGCTATGTGCCAGTAAAGCCAGTTCGTTTTGACCCTCAACTTGCAGCCTCGACTCATGTTGTAGGGATCCGGGATATTGATGCTTACATCGTGCTTGGGGATATTCTACACTTGCAGCTTACTACCGAAAGACCTCCGTTCGACTCTCTGCAGCGGGAACCAGGACATCCAAGCGATCAACCCTCCTGCTAGACCGGGGGCAATCGTAACACATCTATATTAACACAGTTTGACAATAATAAACCGTTATAATTACATTTTGTCTTTTTTTTACTCTATTGATTACCCTTCTAATAGGAATTCTGAATTAATATTTAGCATTATTGTATGTATTAAATATCTGTACATCTAGAAACTAGCTTATTTTTTTTAAATTCTTTATTTTTGATGTGTTTGTCAATGACAAACAATAACATAATAAACACTGAAAATCGTGCAGTGAATTGACATGCCATGTCAGTTGAAGTGTATAGAAGAAGCAGCACATTTTTTAATTAATTAAAGGAAAATAAAAAGGGAGAGAAAGACACAGTGCAGTTTGAGTGGAGCATTGGGGTATGAGGTAAGTAGCCTATTTGTACTGAGAGTAACAGCTATAGAGGTAATAGTAGTTAAGTAGTGAAGTAGCTGAATTTAAGAATATCACAGTTTAGCAACGAGTAAGAACCCCCCGGAGGCCACCCAGGCAGGCTAGACAGGCTATTTTTGAAAGCATTACGAAATACATGAAATTAGACAAGACAACCGTTTAAATCGCGGATTCAGCAGCTTCATTGTTGGGACGGGATGTCAAAGGTAGGTAGACCCTGGCTTGGGTGTAAAATCAGCCTATGCCTTGAGGTGACCGAATGTAGACTCATCACAGGAGTCGCAGATGAATAGCTCACTCAAGTGGTAATGTGTGGCACTGAGGTAAGTCCTGTGTGATCAGCAGGTGGACCCTTGGTGGATCCAAGTTCCAGCGTGTATTGCAGGCTTCACCTTGGGTCTAGATCTGCTTCTGCGTGCCATTCAGGTCCCGGTGTGACACTGACTGTTCTCCTTTCGCCCAGTAGCTGTCTGCGAACTCGCAGCAGCTGTCAGGTCCCTTAGTGTAGTGGGTCGCAGGTGTGCATTAAGCCTTGCCCCGAAAGGACTCGATTAGCCCCTCCAAATGGTGCAGGACATCCAAAGCACCTCTGTAAGGGCCAGGGGCGCATGTGGCATCTGCCATCTTGGGTACGCTTGAGTGCCTGTTGGTTGTATCACAGGTATGCCTTGCGCCCCCAGAGTAACACAAAGCCGCCTAAAAGTAGACCGGGATCACCCCCACCAGTCAAAAGGGGGGGAATGGGTCATTAATCGGCAGCGCAGGTCCAGGGCGGAGAACGGCCGCTTCTCCACTCTCCTGAATCCACTATGCTGCCAAGCCAGCCCACAGGCCTACGGTAGCATCGACACCCAAGGACATCAGAACACGCTTCGGAATCTCCCCTATTGGTTTAGGATCAACAGCATGGCAGCTGGAGTCAATGTTTGGGTATAATCTGCCAAAATAGCTGTATAATTAAGATTGTGTGCTGGATCTGGCAGGCCCTGCCCCCAAAAAATGGCATAATTAAATTTTTTGCTTTTTTTCTTACTTTATTCTGTATTTATTGATGTTTTGCACTTTGTTAAGAAGTTTGGTCCTTTTGGCCCTCTGTTTGGTCAGCCCAGGTCATTATGGTTATCAGACATTCAGTTTTCTATTCACTACCCTTCCGAATCTCGTTAATAACTTTGTGTATACTCTGTATTCTGTGCATGCTTCACATTGATTCATTCAGAATCGGATCAATGGGTGGCAACAACAGGCAGCCACACCACCCAATCTATATGGTGGCATCATCTCTTTATAAAGATGCGGTCATGAATCTCACTGGTTCTCACGGCAGAACCAATAGTAACCACAGATTTTATTTGTCAGGTTACAAAATGTAACTAAATATCAATACAGGATTATATATTTAGGTTGGGTTCCCTTTTTGGGAACTACTCTTCATGGGATAGTTCCTTCAGAGTGTTCCTATTTGTAGACATTGGTTTTACCCCCTTTGGAGGTCCTATGTGTTGGTGGGTTCCCGGTACTGAAGTCTCCAAGTTTTGTTACAAATTTTGAGTATTTTATCTATAAACACAATGTGCTCTACGAGATCCATCACATATCTGATGGGTTGTTACATGTTATCTGTGGGAGAGCAGTCAAGGTGTGAACCAGCAGGACCCTGGAAGAAGAACATACCATTCCATGAGATAAACGTTCTCCCTGGTGCTCCTGTACAGTAATGAATGTCAGTGTATCATTCACAATGACTTACTGTAACACTACAAACACTCTAATCTTCCCTCTGAGTTTACAAGAAGGGGCCTCTCCAAGCCCAGCTCCGAGTGCTGCTAGATCTGTTCTCCTGCAGGTCATGCTGCCCATTGTACAGTGTTTGGTATTTCTGTAATTACATAAGAAATCGTTATAACTGAGCTCAGAATGATTGCTGCTTCCTGAAAGCATAGCGTCGTAATGTGGCATTTAATTGCAGCCTTTTAATGTTACAACTGTTTCCTCTTCAGCCTTTTATTGCTTGTCCCTCTGGTTGTTAAATAAACAATGTGACCTATTACTAAATTTGTTTTAGACCCGAAATCAAAGGTCCATTTATTTACATAGAGTCGCTGTAGGGGCTGTGAGCCCAGTGTAGCACTAATTAACTCTGTATTAATTGATCCTCCCCGATAGGAAAAAAGAAATGTGTTATTTATTGATTATACATTACATATAACATTGCTGTTTTAGGAACTGGATAAAGAGACCTTTATTATTTTATTATATAGAAACATCAAGCAAATCGAATTTTACATTAGAATCAGTTATTGGATGTCCCCACCCACTTCTGTACTTATAGGATTGCAAGTTACCCCACTGCTGTAACTGCTACTCCTGATATCATCGCCCGGGCAAGCAGAATGGTAATGCGGATGGGCTTTCCCACCAAACGGACTTGGATATTTGACTATGTTACCCGGACATCCCCAAGCCAACCCGGCAGGGTCTAGGCGGGTATGCCGACCCATGGGACTAAGGGGGAGTATTGTGAAGAAAAGCAACTTATTTTTCAGCATTTTCTTCTTTTATTCGTGACTTTCCTCAGTATTCGTTTATTTGAGATTTATTGGTTCGGTAGATTAAACTAGCGAACACCGACCACCCTCCTGGCTCATTACCTTCAAAGGGAACCGTCTATTAAGCTCTCTCTGGGCCGCTGCTATTCGTATATGCGAATGCCACGTGAAAGAGAAAACGGCGGCTATCCTGTTTGCACTCAACTTCCCGAACCACCGCTGAAACATACAAACGCCTGCTTCCTTTTGTTGCCGAACAGCTAGGAGAGCGCCATTCGGTAGTTTGGTTCATACGAACATGGGGAGTAATTGCTCCTATGAGCCAGGAGGCTCCATTCGTGCTTTTATTTGTTTTTATGCTGTTCTCTGAATTAAGACTCAGCGTCGTACTAAGGGGGGGGTGGAGGGGATGGTCCGCCCGGGGTGCCACCAGGGTGGGGGGTGGCTTGGGAGGGGGGCGCCGCCAGGAGCGCCGGCCCCCCTCATGCTCCAGCCGCCTGAGCGCTCTGTAGAGAGCCTCAGGCGGCTGCAGCTTTGCCCGCCCGGGCGCAACCTGAGGAGAGGGGCTGTCACACCCTTCACTGTAGCGTGGCCGAGCCCTCTATGGCCGCGGGTACAGGGAGCACTTCTTTTAGTGTCTCCTGTACCCGAACCACATACAGGCTCGGCCACGCAACAAAGAGAAGAAAGAGGGAATAAATAAGGTAGGAGAGGGTAAGGAGGAAAATAGGAGAGGATAAATAAGGTAGAGGATAAAGAAAAGATTGGGAGGAGGATAAGAAGTAGGAGGAATAAATAAAGCTTGTGAGGATAAAAGAAAAAAGATTGAGGAGGGATAAAAGAAAGATTGGGGGATAAAAGAGGAAATTGGGAGGATAAATAAAATAAAAGGATGGGAGAGGGATAAAATTGGGAGGGGAAAAAAGATTGGAGGGATAAGAAAGATTAGGGAGGGATAAGGAAATTGGGAGGGATAAAAAAGATTGGGGATAAATAAGGTGGGAGAGGATAATAGATTGGGTGGGGGAGAAGGAAATTGGAGAGTGGGGATAAAGAAAGATTGGGAGGGTAAGAAAAGAAATTGAGGAGGGGAGAAGAGGAGTGGAGAGAGGATAATTGGGAGGGAAAGATTGGGAGGGGGATAAAGAAAGAAATTGGGAGGGGGAGAAGGAAATTGGAGAGGGAGATAAAGAAAGAAATTGAGAGGGGGATAAAGAAAGAAATTGGATGGGGGGGAGAAGGAAATTGGAGGGGGGGGAGAGAAGGAAATTGAAGGGAGGGAGATTGACATTCATCACACACAATGCACCCCTTGCACACAGAAAAACACACAATGCATTAAACACACTGCATTATACACACAGACACACATACACAAGCAATGCAACCATTTCACACAATGCATCCCTTACACACACAGAAACACACAATGCACCCCTTACACACACTCAATGCACCCCTTACAGGCGCACACACTGCATCCCGTACATACACAGAAACACACCTTGCAGCCCTTACACATACAAACACAGATTCACACAATGCATTCTTTACACACATATCAGGACATCCCCTACACACTCCACCCCCTGTGAACAAACTCATTGGTGGAACATGAAGGTGGACCCTGGGACCCAGACCTTGAGCTGTGTAAAGGGCCCCCAAAAAATGGAGCTGCTTCCCGTTCTCCCAGAACATTGATTTTTGTGACCACAGTTACAAACAGCCTCCAGAGAGCCTGTTCTACACCAGACCAGTGGAGCCAGACTGCAGCTAGAGCCCATCATCATCCTCATCTGGTTGTAGGCAATCTACTATATTATTCGTGGCACTAAGCTCTAATTTACCCCACATTAAAGAAACACTATAGTCCCCAGAACCACTGCAGCTTAATGTAGTGGTTCTGGTGTCTATAGCCTGTCCCTGCAGGCCTTTTAAGGTAAACACGGCGGCACTCCAGCACTGGCGTTAGTTAACATGGCAGATCATATGGGTGGGGCATTGTGATGTCACATGGGGGGGGCGGCAAACTTTACTTTTGCCTAGGGCAGCAAAAATCCTTGCACCGGCCTTGGCTGGAGGGGGCTGTGTGAGCTGTGGCCGCACAGTGTCCCTTGGTAGTTAGGGTGCCGTGCGGCCAGCACAGCTCACACAAGCAAACAGCTGATAAACTGGCCGCACGGAGGAAAAGTGGGGCGGAGCTAAGCAAAATCTGAGCCAAACTGGCGCTGGGGGCGGGGCTTTGGGGGGGCAGGGGGGTGCCAAGCACAGGATCCGCCCCGGGTGCCAAATGCTCAAGGTACGCCCCTGCTAAGACTTCCATACTTTTTGAGAACCCCTGAACCGATCTAAGTGAAATTTGAATATGTTGGTCTCCCAGATCGGGGCTATCAGGGGACATTTGTGGGGATACCTTGTTTATAAAGGGGTGTTCCAAGTTTTGGGGAAAATGTGTGTCCTCTACCTGGAGATAATTGGGTTATTCCTTAACTTATCTCAGAATCTCTCAGGCAGAGGAAGGGAGGGTTTTACTGTTAATCTGTATTCTGATTGGTTGTTCCTTTTGTTTACTGTGGGAGGTCCTCTTGCAGGAGGATTCTCATAAAAGCCAGTGTGGCCTCAATAAAGATCATTCCTGTTACACCCTTCATGAAGTCTAGGCTCATGTTTGGGGAATATTCTACTTGCTGCGGAGAATCGTCTTGGAAGCTGCATTCATCTTCACTATTCCTCTACCTCCTAACTGCAGTTATAATCCCTTATGCTCAGCTATTGGGAAAGGAATAGAAGACCTCAGTACCATAACCACTGAAGGTCATAACACTATGTTTCTATGTTTCTATGCTTCTCTGTAAGCACAGGTGTTTTTTGTCAAAAAGTGTTTTTGTTTACAATTTTTCCTCATTTTATAATTTTGTTATAGTAAATTATATGATATGATGAAAATAATGGTATCTTTAGAAAGACCATTTAACCCCTTAAGGACCAAACTTCTGGAATAAAAGGGAATCATGACATGTCACAAATGTCATGTGTCCTTAAGGGGTTAATGGCGACATAAACGGTATATAATATGTGTGGGTACAGTA